TCAGACCTAACCTTTCATTCACCAGACATGTCATACCCCCTCTACACCAGACCTAGCCTTTCATTCACCAGACATGACATACCCCCTCTACACCAGACCTAGCCTTTCATTCACCAGACATGACATACCCCCTCTACGTCAGACCTAGCCTTTCATTCACCAGTCATGACATACCCCCTCTACGTCAGACCTAACCTTTCATTCACCAGACATGTCATACCCCCTTTACACCAGACCTAGCCTTTCATTCACCAGACATGACACACCCCCTCTACGTCAGACCTAGCCTTTCATTCACCAGACATGGCATACCCCCTCTACACCAGACCTAGCCTTTCATTCACCAGACATGTCATACACCCTCTACACCAGACCTAGCCTTTCATTCACCAGACATGGCATACCCCCTCTACGTCAGACCTAGCCTTTCATTCACCAGACATGGCATACCACCTCTACGCCAGACCTAGCCTTTCATTCACCAGACATGGCATACCACCTCTACGCCAGACCTAGCCTTTCATTCACCAGACATGGCATACCACTTCTACACCAGACCTAGCCTTTCATTCACCAGACATGACATACCCCCTCTACACCAGACCTAGCCTTTCATTCACCAGACATGGCATACCACCTCTACACCAGACCTAGCCTTCCATTCAGCAGACATAGAATGGGACTTTACTAGAACTGTTAGGAAACAACTAGGAGGTAGTGATCACCCCCAGTCTTTCTAACGATAGAAAACCAGTCTATGGGAAAGAACAACACTCTACCAAGATGGAATTACAAAAAGGCAGAGTGGAAATTAAATCGGCACCTTACAAGTGTTTTGGTTAAAAATATAAAAACAGATAACCATGCAGACAAATCGGTAGAAGAGTTCAGCAAACGATTATTGCAGGCAGCGCTGAAACAATACCAAGAGGAGCATGCAAGCTATATAAACCATACTGGAATTGTGACTTTAAAAAATTACACAATGATATGGAAACAGAAACAAAGAAAGCTGAAATCAGACCTTGTCAGGAGCTGTTTAACAAATACCAACATGCAAAGGCTAAATTTCAAATAGCCAAGCTGCAGGCTAGAAGGGCATGTTGGCAACAACAACAAAAACAGCAGTCTCTAAACTTTGAAAGAGACACAGGGAGAAAGGCAAATACGACCACATATTTAGAAGGAGCCATAATTACAACAACAACAACAACAACAAAGCGGTGGTTGATCACTTTGCAGATTCATTTGGTGAAGAGAGCAACATTGATGTCAGACCACAGAAACAGCGAGAGGTTCGAGAGAAACGACAATACTCAAGACACAACGATATAATTCCACTTACGTTAACCGAATTAGAGTTAGCAATATCGAAGCTGAAAATGGGAAAGTCGCATGGAACCAACGAAATGATCAAGAACCTAGAGACAACAGCTTAAACAAAACTGCTGCAGATTTGTATTAATTGTTAGGGGGCGGGGAGGGGGGTGGCAAGGTTCCACAGATATGGGGAGAAGCAGTCATGATACTTCTTTTAAAAACGTGAAAAAAGACAGTACCCATGCCTCCAGTTATAGACCAATGAGCCTTACCCGCTGTCTCTGTAAAACAATGGCACGCATTGTCAACTTTAGGCTTCAATGGGGCATGGAAATGAAAACATCTTCACGCCGCAGCAGGCAGACTTTAGACAATGCTTCTCTACAGAAGACCAGACAACTACCCCTCTCAAGAAAATGAAGATGTCTTCTAAGAAAAGAAACTTGCTTGTAGCATGGATGGATTTGAAGAAAGCTTTTGACAACGTCTGGAAAGAAGGTTTCATGAAGAAACTGAGAAACTATAAAGTGAATGGAAATATGTACAGATGTGTGAAATCAAACTTGTTTAACAGGCGATCTCGAGCGCAGATAGACGGATACAAAAGCAGGAATATCTTGCTGCGCCATGGTGTTCACCAAGGTGATGTCCTGCCCCCAACACTGTTTCTGGTCTATATCAATGATCTAATTGCTGAACTACCCCATGATATTAATGCTGCGATGTATGCTGACGACTTGGTACTGTGGTGCACAAATAAATGTGCAACAGTGGCCACTCGACTGCTACAAAGATCCTTAGATGCAATGGCTGCATGGGCTGATAAATTATATCTCAGCATCTGCATAGACAAATGTAGCACCATTCTCTTCACCCTCTCCCCGAAACAAAAATCAAGCGTTATTCAGATTAATAGAATGCCACTAAGTGAAGATAGTTAGCCCACATACCTCAGAGTCACGTTTGATGATAGGTTAATATTGGAGAAAACTTATCAACAAGACAGCAACTAAAGCCAGAAGGAAGATAGCTATCCTGAGAAAACTATATGGAACATGGTTGCGCAAATGAGAAAATACTTAGGAAAGTTTATCAACAAAGTGTACGACCACACCTTAAACACGGGTCTACCGCATGGAGTTCAGCATCAAAAACAACACTACAAAGGTTATATAATGTGCAAAATCAAGCACTCATAGTCATAACAGGCGAGATGAAATCAACACTTATAGCTGTGATGGAGAAGATGGGCGACTAAAAAGAAGCAGTTTCATCCACAAGGCCAAACGACTCTGCAGACAAACCAATGATCTGCCTACAACCGGTAGCCTCTTAAATGCTATTCCAGATCAGACCCCTTGGAAAGAGGATTATAAGTTGCCAATACATATCCAGACAGAAGTTGAAGGAGTATTCGACAAGGAAGAAGGAACAAAACAGTGTGCAACGTAAAATAACCACCTTCGCTCTACTTGATGACGAATATCTACATAATCTTTGGGGTCGTGTCTATACGGATCGATCAGCGCCAAACGCAAGCAGAAATGGAGGAGCAGGAGTGTGTGTTGAGCATCCAAATAAGACCAGATATACAGCCAAAATACCTTCAGGAAAACTCTGTCACAACTTTGATGCAGAAATTCCAGCCATCAAAATAGCAATAGAGAAACTGTTAAATATACGTCATATTTCACAACCCGTGGTATTTCTGACAGATGCAAGAGCGGTGCTTTAGGCACTCAAATCTGGAAAACTACCTGGTATACGAACACAACTTTTCAAACAGGCAGTCGGTTTAAGGTAACTATGCAATGAATACCATTCCACTGTGGAGTTTCCGGAAATGAAAGAGTGATAAACTAAGCTAAGGAAGGTACAAATGAAGTACAGCCTGACGTACCAGTCTCTTATCAGCAAAATAATCAAATCAATCAGAAAGCCACCGAAATCGGCACAAGACGATTACAATTTTATGGACAGACCAGAGCAAGCTATTATTCTACGCCTTAGAACAGGACACAATCGACTTCGCAGCCACATGTACATAAAATTTAAAATCGGCGAATCAGCCATGTGTACCTGAGATTGGCACCCGGGAGAACAGATCATGTCCTCCAAGTCTGTCATAAATACAACATATCAAGGCAAAAAATGTGGCCAAGATAAACATCGGTGCAAGTCAAACTTTACGGGTCGCTGAGTGAATTACAAAAGACAGTGAAGTTCATGCTAGAGACAGCATTGCAGAAAAAGGTAATTTTTTTAAGCAAACGAAACAAGAAAAAGAAAATATAATCCTTTGAATTTGAATAATACATACATACTAAATTTAATTTAACAAAACGATAAATATAAACTTCAATAAAAGTTTTCAATACATAATGTATTTTTAGGGGGTTCTTTTAGAATGTAAAATAAAATAATAATAACAGTAATGTTCTCTGTTTCAGTCTTCTCATGCTTGTACCAGTACTTTTCGTACGAAAATTTCTTTCAAGACATCTTTCTTACGTTTTGTTGACCTGCCTATGGTGTTCTCGTTAGCAGGTGTAATGGATCATCTCTGAAGCTTCCACATAATTTCCTACTAATTAGCTGACTGTCTTTGATTTTCTTCTTCTTCTTCTTCCTCTTCTTCTTCTTCTTCTTCTTCTTCTTCTTCTTCTTCTTCTTCTTCTTCTTCTTCTTCTTCTTCTTCTTCTTCTCCTTCTTCTTCTTCTTCTTCTTCTTCTTCTTCTTCTTCTTCGCGTTCGCCAGCTGTACACTCTGGTGGAAAGTTCTGGTTGCTCGTCCACTACTGAACTGCAGTCCTGCTCCAGAACCTGAGTGTTGCATGTGCATCAGTTTTACAAATCTCATTCTCTTGGATACAGACTGTTGGTTCCTTGCCTCTCCGGCAGATGCACTCTGACTTTAAAGGAAGCTCCCCAATTAGTCGACTCTTACGACATGCTTTAGGGGAGGCAGTGTGTCTATTCTTGTTTTCCTCACAATGGGGCCCCGGAACCCGCACGGAGGTGATTTGCTTCAATAAATCAAGATTGGTAACAATTGTATAGCTAGTATAGAAATAGCTCTTAAGGAGGCTAACTCACCTCAGCTGATAAAAGCAAATGACAAGCACACGCAGGAATCATGTTATTAGTGTAACTAATAAGTTCTTTCGCTGGAGCCACAGGGCACATTTAGTAGATTAAGATATTTAAACAAAACCGTGGAAAAGAATTACAGACATAGGAGAATAATATCCAAAGCATACAGATGGAATTGTGGGAGATGGCAAACAAGCAAAAACAAAAACAAACACAGTGCATTAAAAGCTTCTTCTCGGTTGGGTGGATGAGGGGCAGGCCGTGAAAAGAAATACTGACATTTTAGAAAATCTGAATATCTAATAAAACTGGCTTGTAGACAGTAATTTATCTCTGAAACTAGAGTACTTTGGCCATATCAAACATCACAACGCCTCAGTAAGAACAGTGTTGAAAGGCATGGTAGTGGGTAAGAGAGGTAGGGGCCGACCAGCACAAAGGTGGGCATGGAAATTCAGAGACACCTTGTGCAGATAAGTGCATGAAGCAGAAGAGTTGACGAGGGACCGAGTCTCTATCAGACTGGCTGTGATGGGTGCGACTTTCTAAAAGGGACTGCTAAATGATGATGATGAGTATGTAAAAATATTACGCTGGACAAGACTGACTCAAAATCTCAAAGAAGTCATAGATATCTGTCTCACCACAACTGGCCAGTATGGTTGTCTGCCGACTGAGAATCCACGGAGCCAAGCTCTTCTCCATGCAAGTACAGACAAGATCATTGTCGTCTGTAATATCCAACCAATTCAACAAGGATAAAGAACCCAGTGCAAGAGGCAAACGAGCCAGTTTGGTACCTTGCAAGTTGAGAATTTTCAACTGCAGGAGGTTATCAAAAGCATGATCGGATATTTTCTTTATCGGGTTGTACATTAGATCTATAGTATTTATACTGGAATTAACATGAAAACTCTCCTCTGTCAACTCTGTGATGAGGTTGTATCCAAGCTGAAGCTCTTCAATCCATACTGGATATTCGGTGGCTATGATATTGGTTACACGGTTGAACGACATGACTACGGAATCTACAGCTGGCAAAGTCATCAGAATCTGCGGAATAGAAGGCAAGGAGTTATTGTCCAACTCTAGGTATGTGAGTATTCTAGGTAAAGAGCCAGAAGTGGGGTCAGATATTTGATTTCCTGACAGATCAATGTCGCCAAGGTTAGACATGAATGACAAATCTGGAATTTGCGTTAATTTATTTGCGTAGATATACACACCAGCCAAAGTGTTTCCCATGGGACGCACTGCTTTACTGAGTTGGTTCGCATCAGAGATCAGGTTATGCATTAAAGTCAGCTGAGCTAAAGATGTCGAGTTTGGAAGAAATGTGATGTCCTTTATGTGATTGAAGCTGAGATCTAGAGACTCCAGAACGTTTAGGTTTGAAACAGCTTTGGGCGTGTCTGTTAGACCGTTCTTGGAAATGTCAAGGATCTGCAGGATATTAGCAACCGCGTCAAAGGAACCGTTAGGAACATCGGTAATAGCGTTTGACTGGAAACTTAACTCGGTCAAATGGGTGAAGTACTGCATCCAGGAAGGCCATGCGGTCAAGCTAACATTGATAAATTGGAGCGTCTCTAGAGTTGGGCCAATGTTCATCAAAGTGGCAGCATTCCAGTCACGAATCGCTGTGTTGTAGATACTAAAGCTGTTCAGAGCACGTAAATGAAGAATGGCGTCTGGTATCGTTGTAAACAGAGCTTCCGAAAACGACAGGCTTTCCAAAGTCTTCGCGGAGTCGTCAAAGGCGGTAGGGTCGATTGTTGTTATCGGGTTCTTTAAAAATGAGATTTCTGTTAAATTTGAAGGGAGACTTCCAGCAGGGATGTCTGTGATGTTGTTTGTCTGTGAAACAAATATAATAATGATGTATTTAATTTAAAAAAAATATAAAAAAAACTAGTAAGTTATCTAAGTGTCACATAAATACTATAAAATGTCCAACATAACTCTGCAAGAAACTTAACTTATTAGAACGGAAAGTACGAAATCAGGAGTCTGCAATGTTGTTCGACTAGGATGAAACCCGGAACCTCTAGCACTCGAGGCCGACATCATGCCTCCAGACCACGCAGCCCCCCCCCCCCCCCCCCCACCCCAAATCAATAAGGTGCTTTAAAATATAGGAATCGCTTATAACTATCTATTGACCTCAGTTTCATCAGCTTTCTTGTCAACATCCAGTCGAAGTAGTCCTTGATTCAGCTGCTAATTGTGAAAAATCTCTAAGATGAGGTGAGCTGAATTAGAAACCTTTACGACATGCCTCGTGATATTTCCAGAATCGCACAGTCCCCACATTCAGCAGTCAGCGCAGAGTTCTATGACTGCATGAACCAATAGCACATGTAGCACGAATCATTGATAATTACCATCATTGTCAGATCTTTCTTTCGGCTTCTCCCACCCGTTATTTGGGAGAATCACAAGTAGACCCAATTGTTGACTGTAAAGAGTTTCATTATTTGTCCGTCTAGCCTTTCCTTTAGTGATGGTAATTTGGGTTAATCACTCCCCGTCGCACCATTCACTCCGGACTGTAAGGTTCTATTACCATATTCCACATTGTTTACGTTGCTCCCAAAAAGCCATAACAAGTTATACTTGTTATTTGAAAAAAAAAAAATAGTTTTTGCTGATTAATTTCATTTGCTCGATTGTAATTATGGCATGGCCTTCAACCCACAGAGAATCTCTAAACGTTCTAGCGTGTATAGGGATCATCCTGTTTTACGCCCTTATCGGAGAAGACTAGGATACTGATCCAGCATCTACATAAGGAAGGTTAGAGCTATGCCATCTTCATTGTATGAATCCTTTGCATCGTATAATTTGCACATAATAATTTATTCTGGGGGTATTCTTGAGTAGGTTCAGAAGAGAATTATCTAAACAATTATTTTCGAAAACTACTTTTTCGGTTACTGGCTAAAAATGTGGATCTCCCTAACAAAAGCCGGAGGACAAATTATGGCTATCACAAACTAAATCAGCAGTTGAATTGTCATCTACAATTACCATGATCTTCAGATATTTCTTTCCACCTCTCGCGAGCGAGCGAGCGAGCGAGCACGAGCGAGCGAGAGAGCGAGCGAGCGAGCGAGCGAGCGAGCGAGCGAGCGAGCGAGAGCGAGCGAGCGAGCGAGCGAGCGAGCGAGCGAGCGAGCGAGCGAGCGAGCGAGCGAGCGAGCGAGCGAGCGAGCGAGCGAGCGAGCGAGCGAGCGAGCGATCGAGCGAGCGAGCAGCGAGCGAGCGAGCGAGCGAGCGAGCGAGCGAGCGAGCGAGCGAGCGAGCGAGCGAGCGAGCGAGCGAGCGCGCGAGCGAGCGAGCGAGCGAGCGAGCGAGCGAGCGAGCGAGCGAGCGAGCGAGCGAGCGAGCGAGCGAGCGAGCGAGCGAGCGAGCGAGCGAGCGAGCGAGCGAGCGAGCGAGCGAGCGAGCGAGCGAGCGAGCGAGCGAGCGAGCGAGCGAGCGAGCGAGCGAGCGAGCGAGCGAGCGAGCGAGCGAGCGAGCGAGCGAGCGAGCGAGCGAGCGAGCGAGCGAGCGAGCGAGCGAGCGAGCGAGCGAGCGAGCGAGCGAGCGAGCGAGCGAGCGAGCGAGCGCGAGCGAGCGAGCGAGCGAGCGAGAGCGAGCGAGCAGCGAGCGAGCAGCGAGCGAGCGAGCGAGCGATCGATCTATCGATCTATCGATCTAGCTATCTATCTATCGATCTACTATCTA